ATTCTATCATTTTTGAGATTGTATCCCAGTACAGCTTTTCCCACTCTTTTGTTGACTATGAGGGCTACTGCATTTCTTCTATGGGATTCTTGCCCACAGTAGTAGATATGATAATCGTCTGAATTGAATTTGCCCATTCCGGTCCATTTTAGCTCACTGATGCCCAGGATGTCAATGTTTATTCTTGCCATCTCCTGTTTGACCACATCCAGCTTCCCAAGGTTCATAGATCTTTCATTCCAGGTTCCTATGCAGTATTTTTCTTTGCAGCATCGGACTTTCCTTTACAAGGCGGCAATCCGTGAAGTGGTGACTTGATGGTACATGATTATTATTAAATTAGTACCCACACTGCATATGAGCAACGTGAGCCTGAAAGAAGGTGGTTGGTCTTATTTGTGTGTAGAGGAAACACAAAGTGTTCAAATCCTGCATGAAAGTGGCCTCTTGGGGTGCTTTCACCCTGCTAGGCCCCTTTAAAAATGTCCCTGAGTTTGAACAAACAAACCATTGAATACATGTATTCTGTTCCCTTTCAATGACTTCTAGTGGCTTGATCCTTTCCCCACTGCAAGGTTGACAAAATTCAGCAGCACAGTTTGCCACCCAGTTTTTACATCAAGGAGAGCAGCCTACAGGGAACAGGGAATTTGATCCTGGGTAGACATGGAGACGAATACTGTATAAAAATGAATCAGGATATTTAAAGTTAAATATAGTTAAATATCTCTGATTCATCAGATATCCATTGCTTCATATCCTTGGGGTCCAGAGATCCCAACAAATACAAAGCAACAAATATAACCCTTTTATATTTGCTTATGCACCAGTGGATCAGCAGTTCCTTGGGGGGCATAAACAGAGAGAGGTTTTCCCTTCAGGTGAAGGGAATCCCACCTCCCGGGGCTTGGGCAAGGCTTGGTTCCCCTTTCCTCTTCCTATGCCTGTGTGGCATAAAAGAGGAAGAAAGGGATCCTCCAGCTGCCGTGGGATCACTTTGATCCCTGCTTTCCCTGTTCTTGCTAAGCCCCGCAGGGCTTAGCAAGTGGAGGGGGAAAGGGA